CCTCTCATCCACCTAATTACCGCGGATACATGGCGTCAATGTACGTATCCGTACGTTGAGTCAGGTCTTGGCGTGGCTCGGTCTGGCTGAAGTGGCTTACAGTTTACACAACGCAAAGCCCAGCACGAAAGGATTCGTCTGCAACAAAGACAGTGGGCGGACGTGCTGTTCGCCCATTATTTTACTTGTCACTGAATCCGCCGGCATCGCCTGTTGCAGTCGGTGTTGCAAGCGCCGCGTGCCGAACGGAACACTAATCCGTTCAGAAATTCATGTCGTGTTTTCTGCCAGATTCAACGGGGAAGCACGACTCACGAGTGCCAAGGGCTCTCCTCGGGCCATTTGTGTTCTCCAAGGCGACATAGGAAGCCAGGATCCACAGGTCAGCATAGGAGATCCAGGAATGCTTTGCCTGAGCATAATCAGACTACAACTACAAAGTCAGCTGCTAATAAGCTCTCCAGAGGCCAGGTGAATGACGTTTTGACCCGAAGCTTCACAAGAAGCGGCCTTCACGGCTTCTAAGAGTTCTCGAGCATGCTCCAAGTAGGCGTTTTCCGGGTCGTTGGCCTGTTCAGAGCAAGTCGTACCAACATGATTCACAACATTTATACTTCAACATACTTCAACATGTCACAGCTGGTTCACAGCGGAGGCCGCCTCCAAGGCATGGCGCATGGTGGCGCCGTTGGAGCCCCCTGTGCCATCAGCTTTGTTGTAGGTTCCTGAGTGGGATCACGAAGCAGCGGAATACAGAGCACGGAGAAGTACGGACAGCTGTATTGCATTCTGCCTTATCTCAAAACCTGGCCTGACGAGTGCCATGCCAAACGGATGAGAATCGGCGCGTAGCTGCCATCGTCCTGAGAACTCACCAAACGCTGCCGCAAGTCCTACAGCCTCAGCTCAACGCTCTTGCATCGCAAAGCAAAAGAACAGCGCAAATGCATCTGCAAATTCCCTTACGCAAGCTTCGAGTAAAAAGGCGTGTGCCATACAGCCGAGAACCAACCAGCCAACGGCTTTCTACTGAAATTCCTGAGCCCTCAACCCATTCAGGCGCAGTCATGGCTTTGCGCAGATCTTCTCGCACCACCTGACCCATTTATACTAACAGGTCGTAGCTGTACCTTTTGGCATCCTTTGGCCATCCTTTGGCTGTGCGGATGCTCTGGGCAGAAGCGTGCTTCTCTCGCCTGGTACAAGGCGGACTGGGGGCCCTCGAAAAGCATTTGCGCAAAGGACCTCGCCACGAAACGTACTGAAATGTACTGAAGTGCTCGTCTCACATAGTCACATAGTGGGTTTCCCGAGGCAACAGCTTTAACTTGATTCTGCCTGCATCCAGGCCGAAGCCTTTCATCAAGGAGGCCAGCTTGGCCTGCCAAGATGCCGACGAAGACCATCAGTGTGCAGCTGATTTTTGGGGGGGGGGGGGGGGGGGGCCCCCCCCCTCCCCCCCATTTGTGGGGTGGGGGCAGGGGGGAAGGGAAGGGAAGGGCGGGGAGAGGCCTTAAGAAGGCCTTTCAGACGTAAAGGGAGGAGCTTCAGGAGCTCACGAGGGCCACGGGTGCCTTAAGAAGTTGAAGGGAGCTTCCTGATTAGCATCCCAACCTACATGGCGCGATCCTGGAAGAGATTTAAACTCTCGATTGGGTAATGACTCACGAGCATTTCAGAGGGTAGCAGAGTTCAAGAGTACGCCTTTGATGCTTGCAGAGTTTGCACTCCAAGCCAGAATTGAGAAGCTCTTTGGCCCCCTCCCTCATGAAAGCGAGCCAAGAGCAAAATGATGTGAAAGTCTTCGCCAGACTTAAGGTCCGACACTTGTGCCTCGTCCCAAAAGGAAGCCTTGTCCACGGCCTTGACAAGCTGGCATAGCTCGCTCTCTCCAATGGTGCCATCAGAGCTCCTCGGAAGCTATGCAGGCAGAAGAACCGGCATCCGCTGAGGGCTCTGTCAGCTTGTGCTGGGCCGAAGCGTGCTCAATTGATTTGGGTTGGCAAGGTGCCAGTCACCACCGTTCAATGACTCACACACAAACAGCAACTGGCCACGATGGTCCTGTCGTACTTCTCCAGGAGGCATAGCCTAAGCAGGTTTCGCTCACCTTCCAAACTAGCCCATATCAGGACGCAGCAGTTGCCAAATGTGTTGTTCAGCAATACTTGGTGTAAGCATCCTGCAGAGCCGGAGCAGAACTCTTACAGGCAAGCACACCATGTGGCAACTACTGCCTAGTCCATCTTGGTTCCAGGCATGTCCTCCATGGAGAGGTTGGGTGTTGGTGCCGGGGGCGCCATGTCTGGCTTAAGGGTCTCGGCTGCGAACTTCGAGCCGAATGGCTGACGTTCCATCACGCCGAGCTGCATGCGATAAGTGCGTACGACGGCAATCCCGAATCACGAGGTCTCCCGTCTCACGTTGCAACGCATGCGCTGTTTCCGACGTGGCGTCATCAACTCTGTTGAGAACCGATACCGTGATACCTGTACATCTGCAGTCCAAAAGAGTCGCAGAAAAGAGGACCATGCAATAAACGATCGAAGGCTCGCCTTCCTGAACACATGCAACGAGCAACAACTGGGAACTGGGGACGGCTGGCCCGTAGCTGCTGCTCTCCTCTAGCGGCGTCTGCTTTTGGAAGGCGCGCGAAGTGAGTGCGATCCCGGGTAGCTGTTCCATCCGCACATCACCGATTACGAGCCGGTGACTTCCAATCAGTGGAAGTCGCCCTCGCTCATGACTTTCACAAACTCCTGATAGTCAATCTTCCCGTCGCCATTCCTGTCTGCTTTCCTGACCATCGCGTTCAATTCCTCTTCTGAGAAGGGCGTATCGTGTTGCTGAAAAGCCCACCGCAAATCATCAGTGCTGATGAAGCCATCATGGTCGTGGTCCAAGCTCTCGAACGTTTCATGCAAGACTTTGCTTTGGGCTTCCCTCTGGAGCCTCAGCACCCCGGAATGCACGTTCTGGTTCTGAAAGTGGCCCTTCCGCAGATGATCGACTTGTGTATTCGGCTCGTCCGCCTTCAGATCTGAGAAGACGTGGTTGGTGTCGCGATGGCAGGCTTCGTCGGCTCGGATTTGCTCGAAGACATCCCGAACCATCGCTTCCTTGGGGAGGTTGTAGTACTGGCGGGCAAAGAGCGGAGCCTTCATGTTTGAAAACATCGGCAGCTGTCCACCATCAATGGCCTCGAGAAGCTTGGTATATGTGATAACAGCCTCCTCCTCGAGGTATCCAACGAAGCGATGACAGTATCGGGGGCAGATAAGGTACATCAAGCTGTACCAAGTAAGAAATACCCCCTGTCCTGCAATGACAATTGCCCGGAAGACAGGGCCAGGACGTCGCAAATTGAGTGCAATGAGCAGGTGCATTCGTTCATTCTCCGCCTCTGCGAGCAAGGAATGAATCCAGCCATGGTCCCGACGCATGAGGCGCAAGGAGTGCAGGTGTCGCACCATGCCTGCCACCATACCTGGCACCCCTGCCACCGTCTCCAGGAAGATCACACGACGAATCCAGTCCCTCTCATGCATGGAGCCAAGGGAAGTTCGGAATTTGTAGCCCGAGAAAAGATCGAAGCTCGACCGCAGGGTCTTCACCGTCATGTAAGATGCCCAGTCAACCCAGTCGGCAGGCTCTCGGTGCGTCTTCTTGACAGCTGCAAGTTCCTCGCTCGACCAGCGGTTGGCTGTGATCAAATGGTTGAGATCGAGGGCCCCAGCTTCAGATTCCTCAGGCTTTTTCAGCTCACTTGCTACGTTCGACTTGCTGCGCGCGCACACTGCACCCAACAAGGGGTAGTAGCGCTGCACGCTTGTTGGCCTGCGCAGCTGGAAAACCTGTCGTCGCAACACCGAGCTGAAAGAAGTCTGCATGGCGACTGGATACGAAAGCAAAAGCCAAGTGTAAACACTGCTTACAGCTCTGATTGCTCTGTCAAATCCAGGTGTCTGATCGAAACAAAGTTCATGTGCTCGAAAGGAACTGGAGCCAGGCCAGCGCGAAACATGCCAGCAGTCACCCTTGGCAAACTTTTCTGGGTGGAGGAATGTGCTCTTCAGTTCCGGCTGTGACTGACGGTACGCTGGTCGGTCGGAATGCTCTGCCATTCATGTTGCGCAGGGCCAAGCTATGGAAAGCGATCGAAAGCGGTGCAAACAGTGTGCAAAAAGATGTGCAAAATGCAATGAAGCCCTCTGTTTCTGCTGCGACACCTTCAAGTCCCAATCCATACGCGGCAATGGTTCTGCCAGAGTGCTTCCAAGCCTCGTGAGAGGCGGCAAGCGTGGCATGATGAAAACTGGTTCTGGATTGACTTGGTCTTCATATGTCTTCATAGTCAACACGGTTTTCTACGAGACTGACTGCTCTTTGGCAAAAGAAAGAAGGAAGTTTGAGAAGAGCCGTTTGTGAGCCATATGAAGCCGTGTAAGGATTCCGTGGCTAAGGTTCCCGAGTGGCGCACGCTGGCGAGTCCCCGAGCTCAGGTTGACCAGAAAGGGACGGGTGGGCGAGCGGTCTGCGTATGCCGCCTTGAGTGGTCGCACAGAAAACGACACAGCTTAACCCAGAGGCTTGCAGAACTCTTGCTGAAGTTTGTCGTGCTGCCAGGCTGCGAAGCTGCAATCCAGCATCCAAGACTCCCACTCAGGAAGCATGGCCTGGAAACTCTATCTCTCCATGATCAGAGGTCCGGTGAGTTGAACAAAGCTGCTGACTCTCTTCCAGACATCTGCTCATTCTTTTGCATTGCGCTGGTGAGTTCGGAATTGCATCTGTCAATGGATCTGTGGGCTGTTCGGACTTGGAACAAGTCTTGTCCGTCATCTCTCCTTTTGCTCCGCTCTATCCCACCAAGTCCAACCCTCTGCTTGCGCAGATTGCAGATGGTTTCTGCCCTTGTGCTGCTCATTTCCCGCTCTATCGCCTGCTACTCAGCTGTTACTGGTTGCTGGCGTGTCTGCTGGCACCACCTTCGGACCGTCTTCAGGCACTGTCAAAGCTATGAGGATTTGTTGACTCGTCCACATAAGCCGAGCTCCCTGCTTGTATGTGCGGCTGCGCATGCAGCCCTTCTGGATGCAGAATCTCAGCACGAGGGCCGTGAACGCGCTTTTGACAGCAGAACAAACAAAAGCTCTCGTCTTCAAAGCCCGCCCAAACCCTAGCAGCTGTCAAAGTCGTAGATGCCTCTTGCGTAACGACTTACTGGGTGCTAGAAGCAGGCATTTGCTGAGTTGATTGAAGGCATGAGGAACTGAGTTCCAAACTGGTGGTGGCATCAGGCCCCCGTCGTTCGGGATTGGCGTACTTGCAATCACCGGCGAGGACCGCCCCGGCCTTATCTTCAGCACGATGTTGAGGAGTCCCTAATTCCGCCAGCTCAGCCGGTGTGTGTGTGTGTGTGTGTGTGTCCAATGCGTCGAAGACGCATTGGCCAAGACGTCGCGCAGTGGGAGACACCGTGCGGGGCCGCCGTGGTTGCCGGAGGGCTTCGATCTAAGCTAAAGTTGGCTGCATGTGCAAGACTCATGCGTGACGCGCACTCATGCACATGGCATCTTCACGAACGAGGGAACAGAGCACACCCGTTTTTTATGTACAGAGACTGCACGTGATCTGCATACTTGCATGGTATATGCTCGGGAAGCTACATGATCCAGGCGCAGCGGAGCCCACAGGGACGGAAGCATGCCCGCTGCGTCCACTGGGAGGGTCCGGTGCAGTGTCGAGATCGCCTTCCAGGAGGACGACATATCTTTGCATATGAGCACGGCATGTTCTTGGCGCATCCTGCAACCAGCTGCTGGCCCACAGCTTCCCTAAGCCCTTAAGCGCCCATGCATGACAGGCTGTCCTGGTGAACGATCGGCATGGAGAAATCGCGCTTTCTCCTCGCGTGCCAAGTTGCCAAATTGTTCAGTGCTTCTCTCGCTGTGGGTCTTCTGCCCTTCTCAGTCTACGCCTCTTCCTCTCTTTCGTCCCTTTCGCCCCTTTCGCCCCCTCTTATTGCCTTCATGCCCTCATGCAACTTGCAAGCACCAACTCTGAAATTGCCTGCCGAGCTTGTTGCTTCTGGCCTTGGAACTGCCAAGCTGAGTGAATCACGGAAGAAGGCTTCAGCGTGGAGCCTCGCCTGGAAGCTTGAAGCTGCCACGCTGCTTGGGTGCTTTCTCTCCTGAACGGGTAACGTCGGATGTGTTTGGGATGTGTTTGGGATTCTGCATGCCTTGGGCGCTCTGGGGGGGGCGGAGGTTGAAAGATGGCTTCCAGATTTCTGAGGCCCAGTTTGCGGCAGCTTTTTGGGAGGCACTATGTATGGAAGGGTCCCCCTTCAGCTGTAAAAAGAAAGGAGATGTGGGAAGGATGCGCTGGGAAACCGCAAGGCGCTGGCATGCTTTGGCTGCCCCGCTACTGGAGCGAGGGTAGCTGAAACACGCTGCAAGTAACGGAGGCTTCATTCATTGAATGGCGCGGTGAAAGCTGTGCCTAGACCTTAAACCTGCGAGGGCACTGAACAACCCTAAGAAGTCGCAGGCTAAGTATATAGCCAGTATAGGCAAGCACGAGGCAAGTCGAGGCATGGGTTTGGTTGATGTGGACAAGATGCAGGGCCAAAAGAGACTTGAGAAGAAGCCGGGACCTGGGATGGCCTCCGCCAGTCTCGAGTCGGCTTGCTGTACTGGGATCTGTCGAATTTGGTCGTAATGTTACGACTCCCTGCTTTGTGGCGCTCGGTCCTGGCGTGGGGAACGGCTGCTGCGGGAACTTCTCCTCAACAGGTCGGATTTCGACTCTTGCGCTGCTTCTTCAAACAACTACCTCAGCAAACCAATCACCAAGATCCACCAAGCTCCACGCCACTTCCGCTTGGCTGGGAGCCATGGCATCCTGCACAGAATTCACCATGCATCGCTGGCAGCAACCCTGCCAAAAGGCAACCGCCGAAGAGAAACAAGTCGCCTCAGGAAGGCTCAGAGCCTCGAGCCTCGACTGAATGGCCGCCTTCAGGGTACATTCACACCAGGGGGATTACGACATCAAGTACTAATAAGAAGTCGTGCGTGCTAAAGGAATCTTCAGAATTGTGGACAGGCACTTCGTTGCGGGTGTATGACAATATGATACAACCAGCCACGAGCACATGAAACGAGCTCGGGAAAACACTCGTGAGACCGCGGGCGCAAGACTGTCCCAGTAGCTGCTCTTCAATTTCTCATCTTTAGTTCATCAGCGAGGACGCCATACCCTTCACTCTGCCCTGGCTTTGCTAACCATTGACAGCCACATAAGTCTCGTCTAGCAGCCATCCATGCACATCTGATGTTTCGCGCCATGTTTCTAAACACAAACTGTCTAGCAATCAAAGCATGACTTGAACCCATTGGCTTCGGCTCGGCATGTGGAATGGCTGCGTGGCCACGAAAGAAGAAACCATTACACCAATAGGTTTGGGCCTGTGGAGTGGTAAGGTGAGCCATGGGACCGTGAAACCGCTAAACCATGAGCTATTACATCACTCAGCCAAAAAAACTTTAAACCAACCAATTCTGCCCGAAGGGGAGAAAAGATTGGCTCAATGGTTTATTGGCTTCATGTCCTTAGGAGTCCGACTGCATGGGCAGAGTTGATCGAATGGTTTCATCAAGCACGGATGTTAGCTGCACCATGCTGTGCCGGATGCTATCCGCTTTGACATCTCTTACAGATTCAACGGCCGCCTCTCGGTCCGCATACTCGGCGAGCTCGAAGCCCAGCTGCTTTTGAAAGAAGTCCAAATGCTCTGCCTGTTCACAGCGGAGTGAGCTGAGAATGGCTGCAACATGGAACGTCTCCCACTGGGACGTCACAGGATGGCCACAGGATGGCCACAGGATGGCAGCCTCATCCCCTTCGAAGACGAGGGAAACCATCCAGCCCACCGAGCCGAAGCGGGCAGTGCGCCCAGACCGGTGTAAGTAGGTCTCCTGTCTCGTGCATTGTGCGGATGCTGGAATGCTACCATCTGCTGCCATATGCTGGTGATGCCGCCAAGCGTGGTGGATGCAGCAGGCGGTGATCCTTTTCAACGGGAAGGTCCAGGTTGACAACCACATCGACCTTCTCTGCGTCAATGCCGCGTGCCATCAAATCCTCGGTCGACGTCCCGATAGAGTGAAACCGATGGGCCGGTTTGGCCGCAGGTCTTGGTGTTCCATGGTGTTTTGCAGCCGAATGGCCGTGCAGACCAGGACTCGGTACTGGAAGCGCTTCAACCCAGCGAAAGCCTGCCAGCGGCAAGGCAAGACCCCCCAACCCAAAAAGAGGTGCCTTGCGAGGAGATGCTGACAGAGATGAGCAAGCCAGTAGACCATGCCGAAGGTGCAGAGATTGAGAAAAGAGAGCCGACAAAAGCGGATTGCGACTGCTGGGAGCCTGTGTCCGCCAGGCTTGGTCCAGCTTCCCAGTGCTGGCAGCGGCAGGAACTCCAGCCTCGAGCTTCAACTTCTAAGAACCCCTGGTTGCTTTGTAGTTGCTTTGTAAACGACATTTTGACACCTGGTTCAGCAGCTCTGCGATTTGGATGGCATTGTTGGAATCCCCAACAAAGACAAAGGCCTTGCAGGTTGCGACGACACAGCAAAGGCCTTGCATTGCCTCATTCCCCAATCTTCGAAGCTCTCAAGTGCCTGTTGGTAAGCTGCCGTCGTTAAGACTTCCAGCAGTGCAGGCACCTTTTGCCTCACATGATATCCTGAGCCCAGCAAGGTCGTGCTTGCTCTCTGCTATCTTCCGGTCTGTCCTAGCTTGCATTGTCCACCACAGGCCTTGAAGCACGTAGCGGAGGTGCAGCACTCCCTGCACTCACCATGCGATTGGCAACCCACATCTTGAGGCCTGCTGCCACGGGCCTTGAGCAATGCCGTCTCTACTACTTCTCCTTCTTCTGAACCATCTTGTATAATATTCAAGCCGTCCTGCAGTGAGCTTCCAGGCAGGACTAAGTTTCCGTGAGGGGTGCGGAGTGGGGGGCCGGGTTAGATCTTTTCTACGCAAGCACAATCATTTCTACGAAGTGTCCGTCGCGGCGTGTCCTCGTCCTTCTTCACGGCTGATGTACACAAGAAGACCTTTGTTGAGCAAGTTGCTCAGAGCTTTGGAGCTTTGCGGAGCACTCAGATGCACGGGGCAAGGCCTTGTGGGGCAAGTCTCGCATCACAGGTTGCCCGCGCGTTGCTCGCTTCTTTTCCACCTCGTGAGAGAGGCATGAGGGCTGCAAATAGCTTGTCTTCAAGATTTGCTGCAGCTTGAGATGCCAGCATGAACGAAAAGGTCTTCTGCTAGAGCAACAAGTGGTGGAGGAAAGGTGGCAGACACGGCCAGAAACTGAAGAGACCTGAGCACAAATCTTGAGACTGGGTGCAATGCCATTTGGGCGTGCCTGAAATTCGGACTTGGTGAAGACCAGCTCTGTTATGGCGGTGATGTCTTGCCTCAGCCAATCCAGGCATCCAAGCGTCTGTTGAAAATTTATACAATGCCTTGGCGACTACTGCTCCCAGTACAAAGAGAGCGAGCGCACGTCGGTTACTTTTGGGGCGGAGACAGCTCGTCCACGCGCATAGATATGCTACACCAACTAGCGGATTCCATCCATAGTCACTGAGGCAAACAGAAGGCATCATCGGCCGTAATTCCCCCTTGCTCCACCAGCATAGGCACCACCGCCGTATGAGCCACCGCCGCCACCGCCGTAGGTAGATCTTGTCTGTTTGTAGGGTGCAGGAGCTGGTGGCGGGGTATACGGCCTCTTTTGGCCATAGCCCGATCCGCCCCCATAGGATCCCTTGCCACCCTTGCCATATCCTCCCTTTCCTTCCCGCTCATTGCCTCGCTGCGCTGGTCTGGAGAACTTTAGCCTAGCTGTCTCATCGCCAGCATCTATTCTCCTCTGGCGCTCCCGTCGGTTGTCCTCTGTCAGCTTCACGAAGCGCTCCAGAGGAGTGTCCTCGGGCTCGTCTGCCTTCAGGTGACCACTGGCGTCAACGCTTACGGAATCCTTCAGCAGCTCGACGAGGTCCTCAAACTCCTTTACGCCGAACTGCTGGAAATTCCATGCTCTTTTGTAGTACTTCTGATAGTAGAAGCCTAAATGCTTCAGATGGAAACTTGGCCGATCAGGATCGTTCAAGTCCTTCTTGAAGCAATGGGCCAGCAGGTGCAACTCATACCTCGTACTGAGCAGAATCCAGTCTTCGTACTGAAACTGCCCGAAGAGCGGCTCCCCGTTACCAATGTCACTGATGTCTTCAACCGCCAAGACCTGGAATCTTTACTTACGAAAGTGCACGACTCATCAACGTGCATGAACTCAAGCAACTGACAACCAAATATCGAGTACAAGGTAGTTGAAGATCAACAGAAACAATAGGTGCTACCAAGACTAGTGGTGCAATAACGACCACAAGAATATCAGCAACCTGTGCAGCACTTGTGCAACCATATGGCATCCAGATTCTCCGTGTCGATCTCTTCCTCATTCTGCTCGGCCTCAACCTTCTCCTCAAGCGCTCTTGCACCTTCTTCGTCACCGGCTTCAATGAGGGTCTGCTTTTCCTCTTCAATCTTCTTCTTAGCTTCCTCCAGCTTCCGCTCCTTGAGTGCCCGTCTCTTTTGGGGATCCCGGAAATCCCCCTGGGCCTTCCTCCAGTCCTGCACTGCCTTTTGCCATGCTGCCCACGTCTCTTTGAAGTCAGCGCCTGGATTTAGATCTTCGGCGCGCTGTGTTTGCTTCTTTTCCATGATCCAAGACTTGAGCAACTCAGAGCAGCTAGACTCCTTGTCCCAGGCAAAAGCTACCTCATCAAAGCCCTCGGACTTCACAGGCAGCACAAAGCTTGCATAGGACCTTGCGAGATCTCTCTCCTGCATGTCTGGCGTCTGGGGTTTCCGACACTTCAAAGCCTTCTCCTCCTCTGTGAGCTCAACTGGACCAATGGGCTCCTCTTCCGGGACTTCCTCCTCCTGTGGCTCCTGTGGCTCTTCTGGCTCCTCCTCCTCCACCTCTTCCCCCATCCGGCGACGCTTTGCCGCCTCGTAGCTCTTCCTCGCAGCATCGGCTTTGCGCTTCCGTTCCTCCTGTGCCTTCTTTTGCTGCCGCTGGCGCTCGGCCTCTTGTGCTTTCCACCTCCTCTCCTCCTCCGCCTGCTGCTGCTTCTCCTCGAGCATCAGCTTCTGGATCCACTGAATGTATTGCTGATCAGGCTCACCCATAAGCACAACGGCCTTGCGGTGGAAGTCTGCCGAGGTGAACCGCAGAAGTGCCTCATCGCGGTCAGACTTCACCAGGTTGGCCTTCATCTCTGGGATGATGTACTTTCGTGGCAGGGTGGGGGCAACTGCTGCAATCACTCGGCTCACGCTCCAGTCGTCAATGGCCGGCACGCCCGTGGATGCTTCTGGCTTGTCGCCAGACCCAGCGGCCGAATTTCGGGCCTTCCATATTCCACTCTTTGCTGCCCAGTCCTGGGAAATGCATGGGAAATGCACACCAGGTTACACCGCATACACCGCACAGGAAATCAGAGGGGAGGATGCCGAAGAAACGACGGCATGCGAGAAAAAGACGCAAGGCCAGGAAAAGGCTAAGGCAACAGGGAGCACCCCATCATCAGGAATGTGAAGGAGCTAACTACATGCTAACTACTAACTTACATGCTGCCGCAGCGGCCAGAATCTTCCGATCACTGAGCTCCACGAAGTCCGGGTGCTCCGCGAGGAACTTGTCCACCCAATCAAAGTAGCCAGTGTCAGGGAGTCCTACAGGCAGCACCAGCTCACCCTTCCCGTCCTTGCGCAGTGCTACAGATGGGATCTCGAGATCTTCCACGGCGGCTGCGGCAGCCATGTTGCAAGTGAATGGCAGAGGACTGCGGGGAGATGGACCGAAGTTCACCTCCAAGGACCTTAGACAACCCGATCCTTGCTTCGTGCCTCATAGATCTCATAGCTGTCCAAGCTATCACTATTTCAGCCGAGACGCCGGCAGCGCCAATCAGCACACAGAAGCTACGCAGCTACATGTTAATGAACAGCCACTCGGAACTCTTGGTAATTGAGCAAAGTTGCACGTTCTTGTATGTCACCGTGGGATACAGCGGCTTGCCTACCAGGTTTTCTGGAAGCGGCTGTGGCTCGGCAACGCGCGTGCCGTTAACGAAGAGACTCACCTGCATTTGCTTGATGAGACTGCAGTGTGCGCCGCCCAGCAAAGTATCGAACAATCTGCTCAGGGTCTGAAAGTTGTAGCTACCAAGAAATGCCAAGGCACCGTGTTGGCATTTGGCAGTGTGGAGTCTACGTTCAGAAGGACTGCCACAGTTTGATCTCTGAAAAACTTCTGCGAGACTTTCTTCCTGGCTTTGTCATGGGTGAAAAAGCCTTCAGAGTCGAAGCAGCAGTTGCCATCTCCGTCTCCCAAGAACACAGAAGATCCACTCAAAGAGAACCCCACGCGGACCAGCTGGCGAGGTGCCGGGACTCTGGTATGTCCTTGCGTCTCGCATGGGTTCAGCGTCTCCAAGATCCTGACCTCGTACATGTAGCGACCAGCCTTGATGCCGGCACTGCAGCGTGCCGAGGCGAGCAGGTATTGCATACCTCCCTCGGTCAGTGCCATCAGCACCTTGCCGCCGCAGACTGGCATGGCATTCAGCGTCGCATCATGGAGATTGAGGCTCACGACACCTCGCATGACCCGGCCCTTCACTACATCCAAAGCGTTGTTTCAAACATCCTGTTTCAGTGGCATGCCAATGACGCTTCAAGGGCCAAATCGACAACGCGCCTGGTTTTACTTTCGTTCGAGCGTCCTTCGCAGCATCTTCTTCTCTTTCTTTGTCCTTGTCTTCCATCTTGGCATCCTGTGCTATTTTGCTGAACATACCAAGCAATGCAGGAAGGGGGTGCGGAGGTGCCGCATTGAATAGGTAGATGGTCCACTTGGAAATTGGAGTCGAGAATCGTTTTGCCATTACCCGCGACATGCGGGCACCCTTGGCACATGTTTTCAATTGCCACACCACGCCATGCCTTTTACTAATCCTTTTACCGGTTGTCCTCCTGGGTAGTCTCTTCCGCGACTTCCGCTTTTGGCTCTTCCGCTTCGCTGTCTTGCTTGATTTGCGCCTCCTGCGTACTAACGTTATTATCATTGCGTGCGCCACACATGAACTTACGACAATGTAGAAATGATCTGAGCAAGCAGGTGCACACCTCCTTGGGCTTTTCTTCCTTGACCTCCTCCTTGAGGGGCTCTTCCTCCTTCATCTCCTCATCTTTGGGAGGCTCCTCTGCATCGGAAGCTGTAGCACTCTTCGCCTGCTTGGGGTGTCCGAGGCATTTCAAGGGCAGGGCTGCAGTAGCACGGCAGCTTGCCGAAACCGGTCCGGACCCACTTTACATCCCTAAACTATCCCCCACGTCCGACCCACGTCCCCTGGCCCTCCCAGTGGCCATTAGCGAGGCTTCGCGCGGACGATTACTTCTTGCCGCTACACACTCCGGCCTTAGTTTTTGGCTGAGATTTCTTCGCCTCCGCTTTGGCCTAGAGGGCAATAATCGGCAACACACTAGCTGACGAGCACAAGGCGCCAAGAGGAGCCCCCCACCCCTCCCCGTCCCCCGGGGCTGCCAGTCCTTCTTCGGGGGCATGGCGGAGGCAGTTCCACAACCCTACGCAACTTGGCTCAACGCTGCGGAGCTTTCGTGCATGTTGTGGCTGCATGATATCCCACAAGACGATGTTCACGGCCACGTGCTTTCAAGACTGGAACTGATTTTCGCGGCACCCAGCTCCTAGCCCTGGCTGCTACCTGGACGAGCCGCAGGCCTAAAGTTCGCGTCCAGCAGCTTGTCTGCCTCGTCGAGCACAAGGAAACGCCTCCAAACACATTGACATATTTATGACACATTGAACTGCCAGAGCCTTCTAGAGTTGACTGCATGCCCTTCCTCTGCTAACTACAGCTGCACAGCATCGCTTCCAAGGCACGCGTCCGTGAGGAGAAGGCCCTCTCGCAAGAGCTTGAACATACGTCCAGGGGTTCCAACCTCAAGAAAGGCAGGTAGAAAGGCCTGGACTCCTGACTGTTTTGAAATGCTCCCACATTCTGCTTAATCTGCCTCGACAGCGAACTTTGTGGGCCCCAAGGAGTATGTTGGCTCTAGAATCGCCTTTTGGATGGAGTTGCTCATAGCCAGAGCCCTTCACCATCACGCGGCTCAAAAAGCAAATGCTGTGCCATGCTGTACCCTCTTCTTCCTTGCGAGAAGCAATGGGAAGAATCTTGGCCTGCGGCCGCGATGTGCGGGGCTCCCTGGGATTCAAGCCTCTCCTGGCTTTTCGAACCCTGCGTACCCCATGTAATCAGTTCTCCCACACGCTTTTGCTAACAGCCCAGGTCACTTCGTCTTCTTCCACCGGGACACCGCCAATGAAGCAGGCAACCTCAAGACAGACATGCTTCCATGTCAAGACGCGCGCATTGGCAAAAATTGTATGAAGTTGCCTGAAGTTGCCACCCCCTAAGGTTCCAGCGTCCAACGCTGGCACCATATACCTTTAAGTGCGGACTGAGATAAGGCCAATGTTATGCCATGTGGTGTGCCGGCTACGAGTCGCAGCGGCCCTGCCGAAAGCCCAACCCAAGGCATCCCAAGGCGCCGTCCAGCCGAGTCTGCGGAGCTCGTCGGTGATCTGTCCGACGTCTCTGCCAAGTCTGTTAAAAAAAACCGTAAAAGGGCGCCTGCCTGCATAGCAATTTCTCGAGTCGGTGCGAGGATGATTGCCTGCAGCACATGCAGCACGAGGGTGGGTGCTTGCGGCGGGGGCGGTCACAGCATGGAAACGCGAAGCCTGCGCGCGCCTGCGTTCAAGCCTCTCGCCTGCCTGCTCAAGCCTCTCTACAGTCACCCGCCTGCACACCCGCATACTCCAACCCCTGCTGACAACAATCTACGAGTACCATGGCAGAATGTTGTATAAGTCAACTCGGACAAATCTGGCCGGCCTGCGACGTCCCTGAACTTGATGTGTTTACGCCTCGATGGGTTGACTTAGCACATCTCCCAGCAAGACTGTAATGCCCTTTTTGCGTGCAGAGGCACCTTCTAGCACTACAGAGCAGAAAGCGATCGTCTTTCCTGGCAGGATGTCCCATTTGCTCAATTTGCGCTTCTCCTCTACATTCCTTGGCCAACTTCCCTTGCGCACCCTTGCACACCCGGACCCTGCCTGTGCCAGACTTGGCCTGCACGATGACATCTCCTCCTGCCAGTGCTTGCGGGATCGCACGAAGTTGTACCTGAAGGTTTTGGCTCTGTTTTGCACATGTGCAGAGCTTCCGCAGAACGGAAGGAACTTCTCGGAATCTGGGCATGTGGCAGGCGAAGGATGCTCACAGCCCATCTCTTGCAGGCTTCGCCTCGCTCCGTGACAAACTTTATGCAATTTCAACACACGCCGGATATCTGCTCAGCTGCTTGCCGTCCCCGCAGGGCTCTACAACTACTATGAATAGGCTTACATAATCGACTGCCACTCCCTTCATTGTCTTGCTGCACCGCCGGGCTCATCGCTGAGGCATTGGATGCATAAATGCAATCCCTGTCTGGGGCCGGCACAGTAGGGGTGCTGACAAGGACAATTCTGCAAAGGTGCATCGCCTAGCATCAGAGAACCAATGATGAAGCAACCAGCCATATCATTGAGCTTCGCACTGGGTCTCGGAGTCAACAACATCGCTTGTCTTGAAGCGAGGCATTCTGCAATGTTCTGTTTGTGTTCCAGGCAGGAGTCTGCTCTGCGTTGCTACCGAATGATTCGCAATCGGCTCAAGAAGGTGATGGCTGCCTGATCTGCATGAGAAACAACGACGTTCCACAAAGCCAAACTTGAGATACATTGAAGACAAATGTTGCCGGCTCTTCCTTGTTTCACAACGACCAAAGCGCGAGGGAAAACTGCAGTCAAACCAGTGCAAGCCTACAAGTCCACGAGTGTCTCAATGATGGCAGGCACTGATGGCACTGAATAGATGTCCGCGCTCGATCATGTCAAGCTGCATTTGCAGCACAGCTGGCAACTTTGGCCAAACGACGTCACTTGAGGATTCACAAAAGCACGCGAATGTGTGCAAATGTGGACCAGCCTTGCCTTGTCGAACAACCACTCGCTATCGAAGGAGTGCTTGGAGCATCTGATGCCTGCCTCAAGTGAATCCTTCTCGCAGTCCTAGCATTGAGGACATGCGCAGATTAAATACTTAATTTTATGTACCTGTCGTGTCTTTGTCGAGCAAGTACAATGGCAATCGAACTCCTGTAACGGCTTGTGACCTCATACTATGGTGTTTTAACATGATTCCGTAGAAGTGGTCTTCTTGAACAGCAGCTCCATCACCAATCCTAGTGCTACAGGCCTCCGGCTCCATGTTTTGGAGCCGCAGCGACCACTTTGGAGAGTATTTGCGGCGGGATTCACGCTGCTGTGCTTGGCACTGTCATTCCTCAGCTCTGCATGATTCCACATTCCACTTCCCAGTTCAGGCGAGGCGAATGCTGTGCAGACGCTCATGTGGCGCCCAATCCCTTTTGTAATTATTCACTGGCAAGCGGCAACCCGAAGAACTCGAATGGCTTGGGTCGTTGATCGCTCCATAAGTGAATCTATCGTGGAGATCAACTCCAGGAATGACAATCTGGAGCACGAGGTACATGCAAGCCTGGTCATCACAACTGAACACATAGATGTACACTTGGAGGCGCTTGCCGCGCCCCGGTTTGTCTTGCTGCTTCGACTTTGCTAAGCGGATCTTCACATGTGCCATCATGTGCCTCAAACCACGTGGCATTGAAGGCACACCAAACTATAGCCATATGTTTGTGTCTTCGTGCAATCCGCATATGATGCTATGTGATGGATGGCCTCTCTTGCCCCCACGCAACAGTTGGCATTCCTGTCGCCTAAGCCTTGGCCGTAGACTACCTGACTTATCCTGACGTTAAACAAGTCAAGGCTCCAGAATCACCAGGAGGCTCAGCAAGAAAAACCCGGCGCAAAGGGTCCTGCCGAATGATTCATGACGCATGCCCTATAATTACTCGGCTCACTCCAGTACCACTACTTCCAATGCCAATACGAGCAGTCGAGACAAACGCCGACATCAACAGCAACTTCTAACGTCCGCGTGGTCCGTATGGTGTATGCTATTGCGTGAATACCACGTAAATGCTACCTCAATACTACGTCAACATTTTATTACGTCAATACTATACATCAATACTACGTCATTACTACATCAATACTACGAAAATACGGAAGCATTTCGTAAGCATATTTCGTAAGTTAAGTACACCGTAATTTATGTCGTAAGTATTACGTAAGTATGTAAGTACTACGTAAGTACCATGTAAGTATTCCGTAAGCTACGCAAGTACTACGTAAGTATTGCGTAAGTACTACGTAAGTACCCCGTAAGTACTACGTAAGTAAAACGTAAGTAAAACGTAACTAAAACGTAAATAAAACGTAACTCGTAACTATTACGCAAGTATTGTGCAGTTATTGCGTTAGTCTTACGAAAGTATTGCGCACGTATTATGCATATATTGCGCAAGTTTTACTTAAGTGTTTAGGAAGTGCTGCGCAAGTATGTGTTCGCCAGTCATTTGTGACATAACGCAAGTACTACGTAAGAACTACCTGTAAGTATTGCCTATGTGAGTATCTCTTACCTAAGACCTAAGTAGCATTGTACCTAAGTATTGCGTAGGCATTGCACAAGAATTTACATGTAAGTATCACGTTAGTAGTCTTCGTATAAGTATTGCGTAATAAGTACGTAAGTGTATTGTGCATGTGCATCACAAGTGTTACGCATGTATGTAAGATTGGCAAGGTCGAGATAAGTTTAGATATATCTCTCGCCCAGACTGTGAAATTGTCGCACATTGGTTGCCGGTTCGGACGGTTGCGGCTTGCAGTCCGGCTGGTCAAGAAAGGAAACGAGATGGAACCGAGGAGTGAAGAGATGATGTGAAGAAGCCGTTTCTCATCTAGGGTGAAGCGGCAAGGCCTGTGCGGAGATGAAGAGGCTGAGGAGGCTAGGTGCTGCAGAGACTCTCGCGCAAACTCTTGTGACTTCAACACGTCTGCTACTGGGCGGGGCACATTGGCTTGAAATGATGGATGCTCCGCATGAGCACGGCTATCTTCCACTTCAGCCACAGCTTGCAGGGAGCTGTCGCCGCGACTGACATTCGCCATTGCTGTAGGTGCTTGGGCACTCTGCCCTTCCGTTAAAGTTGCAGCGCATGATGGACCTTGAGAGTCAATGAGTGGCGGATGCAGCTGAAGTGGGCACTCTCTACCTGACCGATTCTGTCTTAAAGCTGCCCAGTACAGGCATGCCCTCCCAACCACCCTAGAAATGCTGCCGAGTCCTTCTGAGAAGGAAATAGTTCGTCGGCCCCAGATAATTGTATGCGAACCTCAGTGCATTGGCCAACAAAATGCTGGAAACACCTAGGCGGCGTGCATTCGAAGATGTTGACAACAACGTGCGCACACAACAATTGGAGGACCAGCGCTCTGCAACAAGGACTCAGTGCAGACCCTCGACTACAAAATTGTTGTCCAAACGCAATGCCGG